GGGTAACCGCCGAAGAAGAATAAATAACAATGAGATTTCCAGATATCTTAATTTGTAACTCGTTTAATTTCAACTGCTAAAAAGATACTAAAACAAATAAGGTAATACTCAACAACAAAAATTCAAAGTTTATTTGACTTTTTTTGGTTGCGGTTGCTAGATACTTGCCGTAAAAAGAAATACAATGATTTTCTACAAGAATGCCTCAAATTTTTTTTCTAACCTCTTGAACTGGTCTGAAATTTAACAAATGGCTTAATTTTGATAGCATTTTTTACCGTTAATTTTTACTAGGATTCTTTGGGTTAAAAAAGACCAGTCAACTTTATTTTCGCGCCGTGGCGAGACTTAGGCTCGCAATTTTCTGGCTAGAATTGTGAAGAGTTAACCCAAAGCCACGTCGAATATATTGTGTATTCTTTTACACATTTTGAAATAAAGGAAAAATATTCAAAATTTCAGTAAAACAGCAATCTGAATTTACGCAAAAAGTGATGAGACATTCGTTGAACCCCAAAAAAGAATGAACAGCCTTCAGATTGCTAGATATCTCATTTAGAAAACTGATTGATTAATTTCAACTGAAAATAGCTACGGAAATTTTAAAAAAATTGGACTAAAACAAAGTCAAAAGCTCAAAATGTAAGTATCTGTTTAACTGCTGGTATTGCTGGAGACTTTGCGGAAACTTGAGGTACAATGATTTAATACAGCCACCCAATCGAAACATTATATCATTTTCATTATAGGTAAGTTTCATTTTTCGCCGTTCGGATTAAAGATTTTCAAAGAAGCAGAGGCCTGAAAATTAATAAGCTCATTTCCAGATGTATACTTAGTAGCGAGCTACTGGCAGGCCTCTGTATAATAAGATCAACACGTCACATTTTAAAAAGTTTAGAAAGAACTGATAAAAAAATAATCAAGACAATAATCTGGCTTGCGGGAACTCAAAGAGATCTAGTTTTAAAATTTTCTGCAGAATTTGTTTTTGACCAGCCTCGGGTAACCACCGAAGAAGAAAAAAAACAATCAGATTTCCAGATATTTTAATTTGTAACTCGTTCAATTTCAACTGCTAAAAAGAAACGAAAAAAAAGGTAATAACTCAACCAAAAAAAATTCAAAGTTTATTTGACTTCTTTATTGTTGCGATTGCTAGATACTTGCCGTAAAAAAAAATACAAGGATTTTCTACAAAAACGTCTCAAATTTTTTTCTATCCTCTTGAACTGGTCTGAACTTTAACAAATGGCTTAATTTTGATAGCATTTTTTACCGTTAATTTTTCCTAGGATTCTTTGGGTTAAAAAAGACCAGTCAACTTTATTTTCGCGCCGTGGTGAGACTTAGGCTCGCAATTTTCTCGCTAGAAATGGGAAGAGTTAACCCAAAGCCACGTCGAAAATACTGTGTATTCTATTTTACATTTTGAAATAAAGGTAAAACATTCAAACTTTCAGTAAAACAGCAATCTGAACTTACGCAAAAACTGATGAGACATCCGTTGATCCGCCAAAAAAGAATGAACAGCCCCTTCAGATTGCTAGATATATTATTTTTAAAACAGAATAATTAATTTCAACTGAAAATAGCTACGAAAAATTTAAAAAATGGACTAAAACAGTCTAAAACTCAAAATTTAAGTATCTGTTTTACTGCTGTAATTGCCGGAGATTTTGCGAAAACTTAAAGTACATTGATTTAAAACAGCCACCCAATCAAAACTGCTATTAGCTTCAAACTTTTTCGGACAAAAACAGAGCTCTACTACCCGCTGCGAGATTCGAACGCGCAATCTTCTGGTTAACAGCCAGACGCCTTATCCATTAGGCCACGCTGGCTGGATCATCAGTTTCATTATAGTTAAGTTTCATTTTTGGCCATTCGGATTAAAAATTTTCAAAGAAGCAGAGGCCTGAAATTTAACAAGCTGATTTCCAGATGTATACTTAGTAGCGAGCTAATGGCAGGCCTCTGTATAATAAGATCAACACGTCACATTTTAAAAAGTTTCGAAAGAACTGATTAAAAAATAATCAAGACAATAATCTGACTTGGGGGAACTCAAAGAGATCTAGTTTTAAAATTTTTTGAAGAATATTTTTTGAACAGCCTCGGGTAACCGCCGAAGAAGAAGAAATAACAATCAGATTTCCAGATATCTTAATTTGTAACTCGTTTAAATTCAACTGCTAAAAAGAAACGAAAACAAAAAAGGTAATAACTCAACCAAAAAAAATTTAAAGCTTATTTGACTGTTTTTGTTGCGGTTGCTAGATACTTGCCGTAAAAAGAAATACAATGATTTTCTACAAGAATGCCTCAAATTTTTTTTCTAACCTCTTGAACTGGTCTGAAATTTAACAAATGGCTTAATTTTGATAGCATTTTTTACCGTTAATTTTTACTAGGATTCTTTGGGTTAAAAAAGACCAGTCAACTTTATTTTCGCGCCGTGGCGAGACTTAGGCTCGCAATTTTCTGGCTAGAATTGTGAAGAGTTAACCCAAAGCCACGTCGAATATATTGTGTATTCTTTTACACATTTTGAAATAAAGGAAAAATATTCAAAATTTCAGTAAAACAGCAATCTGAATTTACGCAAAAAGTGATGAGACATTCGTTGAACCCCAAAAAAGAATGAACAGCCTTCAGATTGCTAGATATCTCATTTAGAAAACTGATTGATTAATTTCAACTGAAAATAGCTACGGAAATTTTAAAAAAATTGGACTAAAACAAAGTCAAAAGCTCAAAATGTAAGTATCTGTTTAACTGCTGGTATTGCTGGAGACTTTGCGGAAACTTGAGGTACAATGATTTAATACAGCCACCCAATCGAAACATTATATCATTTTCATTATAGGTAAGTTTCATTTTTCGCCGTTCGGATTAAAGATTTTCAAAGAAGCAGAGGCCTGAAAATTAATAAGCTCATTTCCAGATGTATACTTAGTAGCGAGCTACTGGCAGGCCTCTGTATAATAAGATCAACACGTCACATTTTAAAAAGTTTAGAAAGAACTGATAAAAAAATAATCAAGACAATAATCTGGCTTGCGGGAACTCAAAGAGATCTAGTTTTAAAATTTTCTGCAGAATTTGTTTTTGACCAGCCTCGGGTAACCACCGAAGAAGAAAAAAAACAATCAGATTTCCAGATATTTTAATTTGTAACTCGTTCAATTTCAACTGCTAAAAAGAAACGAAAAAAAAGGTAATAACTCAACCAAAAAAAATTCAAAGTTTATTTGACTTCTTTATTGTTGCGATTGCTAGATACTTGCCGTAAAAAAAAATACAAGGATTTTCTACAAAAACGTCTCAAATTTTTTTCTATCCTCTTGAACTGGTCTGAACTTTAACAAATGGCTTAATTTTGATAGCATTTTTTACCGTTAATTTTTCCTAGGATTCTTTGGGTTAAAAAAGACCAGTCAACTTTATTTTCGCGCCGTGGTGAGACTTAGGCTCGCAATTTTCTCGCTAGAAATGGGAAGAGTTAACCCAAAGCCACGTCGAAAATACTGTGTATTCTATTTTACATTTTGAAATAAAGGTAAAACATTCAAACTTTCAGTAAAACAGCAATCTGAACTTACGCAAAAACTGATGAGACATCCGTTGATCCGCCAAAAAAGAATGAACAGCCCCTTCAGATTGCTAGATATATTATTTTTAAAACAGAATAATTAATTTCAACTGAAAATAGCTACGAAAAATTTAAAAAATGGACTAAAACAGTCTAAAACTCAAAATTTAAGTATCTGTTTTACTGCTGTAATTGCCGGAGATTTTGCGAAAACTTAAAGTACATTGATTTAAAACAGCCACCCAATCAAAACTGCTATTAGCTTCAAACTTTTTCGGACAAAAACAGAGCTCTACTACCCGCTGCGAGATTCGAACGCGCAATCTTCTGGTTAACAGCCAGACGCCTTATCCATTAGGCCACGCTGGCTGGATCATCAGTTTCATTATAGTTAAGTTTCATTTTTGGCCATTCGGATTAAAAATTTTCAAAGAAGCAGAGGCCTGAAATTTAACAAGCTGATTTCCAGATGTATACTTAGTAGCGAGCTAATGGCAGGCCTCTGTATAATAAGATCAACACGTCACATTTTAAAAAGTTTCGAAAGAACTGATTAAAAAATAATCAAGACAATAATCTGACTTGGGGGAACTCAAAGAGATCTAGTTTTAAAATTTTTTGAAGAATATTTTTTGAACAGCCTCGGGTAACCGCCGAAGAAGAAGAAATAACAATCAGATTTCCAGATATCTTAATTTGTAACTCGTTTAAATTCAACTGCTAAAAAGAAACGAAAACAAAAAAGGTAATAACTCAACCAAAAAAAATTTAAAGCTTATTTGACTTTTTTTGTTGCGGTTGCTAGATACTTGCCGTAAAAAGAAATACAAGGAATGCCTGAAAAATTTTTTTCTAACCTCTTGAACTGGTCTGAACTTTAACAAATGGCTTAATTTTGATAGCATTTTTTACCGTTAATTTTTACTAGGATTCTTTGGGTTAAAAAAGACTAGTCAACTTTATTTTTGCGCCGTGGCGAGAATTAGGCTCGCAATTTTCTGGCTAGAAATGTGAAGAGTTAACCCAAAGCCACGTCAAATATATTGTGTATTCTTTTACACATTTTTGAAATAAAGGAAAAATATTCAAACTTTCAGTAAAACAGCAATCTGAATTTACGCAAAAACTGATGAGACATTCGTTGAACCCCAAAAAAGAATGAACAGCCTTCAGATTGCTAGATATCTCATTTTGAAAACCGATTGATTAATTTCAACTGAAAACAGCAACGGAAATTTTTAAAAAAATTGGACTAAAACAAAGTCAAAAACTCAAAGTTTAAGTATCTGTTTTACTGATGTAATTGCTGGAGATTTTGCGGAAACTTGAAGTACAATGATTTAAGAGAGCCAACCATACGAAACTGCTATTAGCTTCAAACTTTCTACGGACATATACAGTACTTTACTAACCGCGGCGAGATTCGAACTCGCAATCTTCTGGTTAGGAGCCAGACGCCTTATCCATTAGGCCCCGCGGGCTGGACTCCGACACTTTCATCGCGGGCCACGCGGGCTGATTTCCAGATGTACACTTAGTATCGAGCTAATGGCAGGCCTCTGTATAATAAGATCAACACGTCACATTTTAAAAAGTTTCGAAAGAACTGATTAAAAAATAATCAAGACAATAATCTGACTTGGGGGAACTCAAAGAGATCTAGTTTTAAAATTTTTTGAAGAATATTTTTTGAACAGCCTCGGGTAACCGCCGAAGAAGAAGAAATAACAATCAGATTTCCAGATATCTTAATTTGTAACTCGTTTAAATTCAACTGCTAAAAAGAAACGAAAACAAAAAAGGTAATAACTCAACCAAAAAAAATTCAAAGTTTATTTGACTTTTTTTGTTGCGGTTGCTAGATACTTGCCGTAAAAAGAAATACAAGGAATGCCTGAAATTTTTTTTTCTAACCTCTTGAACTGGTCTGAACTTTAACAAATGGCTTAATTTTGATAGCATTTTTTACCGTTAATTTTTACTAGGATTCTTTGGGTTAAAAAAGACCAGTCAACTTTATTTTTGCGCCGTGGCGAGAATTAGGCTCGAAATTTTCTGGCTAGAAATGTGAAGAGTTAACCCAAAGCCACGTCAAATATATTGTGTATTCTTTTACACATTTTTGAAATAAAGGAAAAATATTCAAACTTTCAGTAAAACAGCAATCTGAATTTACGCAAAAACTGATGAGACATTCGTTGAACCCCAAAAAAGAATGAACAGCCTTCAGATTGCTAGATATCTCATTTTGAAAACCGATTGATTAATTTCAACTGAAAACAGCTACGGAAATTTTAAAAAAAATTGGACTAAAACAAAGTCAAAAACTCAAAGTTTAAGTATCTGTTTTACTGATGTAATTGCTGGAGATTTTGCGGAAACTTGAAGTACAAAGATTTAAGAGAGCCACCCATACGAAACTGCTATTAGCTTCAAACTTTTTACGGACATATACAGTACTTTACTAACCGCGGCGAGCTTCGAACTCGCTATCTTCTGGTTAGGAGCCAGACGCCTTATCCATTAGGCCCCGCGGGCTGGACTCCGACACTTTCATCGCGGGCCACGCGGGCTGATTTCCAGATGTACACTTAGTATCGAGCTAATGGCAGGCCTCTGTATAATAAGTTACACACGTCACGTTTTAGAAAAATTTCGACAGAACTGATTAAAAAATAGTCAAGACAATAATCTGACTTGCGGGAACTCAAAGAGATCTAGTTTTGAAATTTTCTGCAGAATTTGTTTTTGACCAGCCTCGGGTAACCACCGAAGAAGAAAAAAAACAATCAGATTTCCAGATATCTTAAATTGTAACTCGTTTAAATTCAACTGATAAAAAGAAACGAAAACAAAAAAAGGTAAAAACTCAACCAAAAAAAATTCGAAGTTTATTTGACTTCTTTATTGTTGCGATTGCTAGATACTTGCCGTAAAAAGAAATATAACGATTTTCTACAAAAACGTCTCAAATTTTTTTTCTATCCTTTTGAACTGGTCTGAACTTTAACAAATGGCTTAATTTTGATAGCATTTTTTACCGTTAATTTTTCCTAGGATTCTTTGGGTTAAAAAAGACCAGTCAACTTAATTTTCGCGTCGTGGTGAGACTTAGGCTCGCAATTTTCTGGCTAGAAATGTGAAGAGTTAACCCAAAGCCACGTCGAATATACTGTGTATTCTATTTTACATTTTCAAAAAAAAAGGAAAAACATTCAAACTTTCAGTAAAACAGCAATCTGAACTTACGCAAAAACTGATGAGACATTCGTTGATCCGATTTTAATGATTTTCAAAAAAGCAGAGGCCTGAAATTTAACAAGCTGATTTTCAGATGTATACTTAGTGGCGAGCTAATGGCAGGCTTCTGTATAATAAGATCAACACGTCACATTTTAAAAAGTTTCGAAAGAACTGATTAAAAAGTAATCAAGACAATAATCTGACTTGGGTGAACTCAAAGAGATCTAGTTTTAAAAATTTTTGAAGAATTTTTTTTGACCAGCCTCGGGTAACCGCCGAAGAAGAATAAATAACAATGAGATTTCCAGATAACTTAATTTGTAACTCGTTTAATTTCAACTGCTAAAAAGATACTAAAACAAAAAAGGTAATACTCAACAACAAAAATTCAAAGTTTATTTGACTTTTTTTGGTTGCGGTTGCTAGATACTTGCCGTAAAAAGAAATACAATGATTTTCTACAAGAATGCCTCAAATTTTTTTTCTAACCTCTTGAACTGGTCTGAAATTTAACAAATGGCTTAATTTTGATAGCATTTTTTACCGTTAATTTTTACTAGGATTCTTTGGGTTAAAAAAGACCAGTCAACTTTATTTTCGCGCCGTGGCGAGACTTAGGCTCGCAATTTTCTGGCTAGAATTGTGAAGAGTTAACCCAAAGCCACGTCGAATATATTGTGTATTCTTTTACACATTTTGAAATAAAGGAAAAATATTCAAAATTTCAGTAAAACAGCAATCTGAATTTACGCAAAAAGTGATGAGACATTCGTTGAACCCCAAAAAAGAATGAACAGCCTTCAGATTGCTAGATATCTCATTTAGAAAACTGATTGATTAATTTCAACTGAAAATAGCTACGGAAATTTTAAAAAAAATTGGACTAAAACAAAGTCAAAAGCTCAAAATGTAAGTATCTGTTTAACTGCTGGTATTGCTGGAGACTTTGCGGAAACTTGAGGTACAATGATTTAATACAGCCACCCAATCGAAACTGCTATTAGCTTCAAACTTTTTCCGGACAGATACAGAGCTTTACTACCCTCGGCGAGATTCGAACGCGCAATCTTCTGGTTAGGAGCCAGACGCCTTATCCATTAGGTCACGCTGGCTGGATCATCATTTTCATTATAGTTAAGTTTCATTTTTCGCCATTCGGATTAAAGATTTTCAAAGAAGCAGTGGCCTGAAATTTAACAAGCTGATTTCCAGATGTATACTAAGTAGCGAGCTAATAGCAGGCCTCTGTATAATAAGTTCAACATGTCACATTTTAAAAAATTTCGAAAGAACTGATTAAAAAATAATCAAGACAATCATCTGACTTGCGGGAACTCAAAGAGATCTAGTTTGAAAATTTTTTGAAGAAAATTTTTTGACCAGCCTCGGGTAACCGCCGAAGAAGAATAAATAACAATGAGATTTCCAGATATCTTAATTTGTTACTCATTTAATTTCAACTGCTAAAAAGATACGAAAACAAAAAAGTTAATAACTCAACAAAAAAAAATTCTAAGTTTATTTGACTTTTTTCTGTTGCGGTTGCTAGATACTTGCCAGAAAATGAAATACAATGATTTTCTACAAAAATGTCTAATTTTTTTTTCTATCCTCTTGAACTGGTCTGAACTTTATCAAATGGTTTAATTTTGATAGCATTTTTTACCGTTAATTTTTCCAAGGATTCTTTGGGTTAAAAAAGACCAGTCAACTTTATTTTCGCGCCGTGGTGAGATTTGGCCTCGCAATTTTCTGGCTAGAAAGGTGGAGAGTTAACTCAAAGCCACGTCGAATATATTGTGTATTCTATTACACAATTTGAAATAAAGTAAAAATATTCAAATTTTCAGTAAAACAGCAATCTGAACTTACGCAAAAACTGATGAGACATTCGTTGATCCGCCAAAAAAGAATGAACAGCCCCTTCAGATTGTTAGATATATCATTTTTAAAACCGATTAATTAATTTCAACTGAAAATAGCTACGGAAAATTTAAAAATGGACTAAAACCAAGTCAAAAACTCAAAATTTAAGTATCTGTTTTACTGCTGTAATTGCCGGAGATTTTGCGAAAACTTGAAGTACATTTAAAACAGCCACCCAATCGAAACTGCTCTTAGCTTCAAACTTTTTCCGGACAAATACAGAGCTTTACTCCCCGCGGCGAGATTCGAACTCGCAATCTTCTGGTTAGGAGCCAGACGCCTTATCCATTAGGCCACGCTAGCTGGCTCATCAGTTTCATTATAGTTAAGTTTCATTTTTCGCCATTCGGATTAAAGATTTTCAAAGAAGCAGGCGCCTGAAATTTAACAAGCTGATTTCCAGATGTATACTTAGTAGCGAGCTAATAGCTGGCCTCTGTATAATAAGTTCAACACATCACATTTTAAAAAATTTCAAAAGAACTGATTAAAAAATAATCAAGACAATAATCTGACTTGCGGGAACTCAAAGAGATCTAGTTTTAAAATTTTTTGAAGCAAATGTTTTGAAAAGCCTCGGGTAACCGCCGAAGAAGAATAAATAACAATGAGATTTCCAGATATCTTAATTTGTAACTCGTTTCATTTCAACTGCTAAAAAGATACTAAAACAAAAAAGGTAATACTCAACAACAAAAATTCAAAGTTTATTTGACTTTTTTTGGTTGCGGTTGCTAGATACTTGCCGTAAAAAGAAATACAATGATTTTCTACAAAAATGCCTCAAATTTTTTTTCTAACCTCTTGAACTGGTCTGAAATTTAACAAATGGCTTAATTTTAATAGCATTTTTTACCGTTAATTTTTACTAGGATTCTTTGGGTTAAAAAAGACCAGTCAACTTTATTTTCGCGCCGTGGCGAGACTTAGGCTCGCAATTTTCTGGCTAGAATTGTGAAGAGTTAACCCAAAGCCACGTCGAATATATTGTGTATTCTTTTACACATTTTGAAATAAAGGAAAAATATTCAAACTTTCAGTAAAACAGCAATCTGAATTTACGCAAAAACTGATGAGACATTCGTTGAACCCCAAAAAAGAATGAACAGCCTTCAGATTGCTAGATATCTCATTTTGAAAACTGATTGATTAATTTCAACTGAAAATAGCTACGGAAATTTTAAAAAAAATGGACTAAAACAAAGTCAAAAGCTCAAAATTTAAGTATCTGTTTTACTGCTGGAATTGCTGGAGACTTTGCGGAAACTTGAGGTACAATGATTTAATACAGCCACCGAATCGAAACTGCTAT